ATAAATAAATATTTCGAGTTTTTTCATAAATATTTTTGGTTGCCCTGGATATGAATTCTATATTACCAAATAAGATAATTGGAGAACTTTTTCTTTCATAACCTATCTAAAAATACTTCAACACTACTAGCGTTTAAGTTAAAGATATTGAACGAACAATAATTAAAAACTATCACATTTCTTCATCATCAAAGTTAAAGAACTCCTCTGGGTTAGGATTATTATTTAATCGAAGTGAATATAAACTATTAGCACTTTAAAAAATAAACCTTTTCCCCCCTCAACTATCGTAGAGCACAACTATGCCAGTGTTGTCGTTGCATAACACATATACTTTACCATCTGGATCAGCTAGCTACACTCTGGGTCTTAGTGGTGCTCCAAATGTGGCGTCATATTCATATCGAACGTCAGTAGGTGCAGCAACAGACCGTATTTTGACATCAACTGGAATCCCGAATATATGCAATGCAAGTGCGATAGCAGGTTTATCGGCTTCAACGTCTAATCCATTTGGTAATATCATATAATAAAATAAAATTTCTAAAATGAAGCAATAACTGAGGGCCTGAGAGTGAAAGTGACCAACAAAAAGTTGAGCGTAAAAGTGACCTAACTCCATACAAAACAGCGTAACGGTAGCATGTGTTTTTTATGGAGTTAGGTCACTTTTACGCTCAAATTTTTGTTGGTCACTTTCACTTTCAGGCCCTCAACTAATATAGTATGTGGCTCTAACCAACAAAGACCAACAAAAATGCTGAAAAATTTGCTGCTTTAATTATTTACGAATGTTTGTTTGTCTGTTCGTTCGGAGGTTTTCCACGAACGAACGAATACGGACACTCTTTTGTTCGCAATTGATTGGATTATTCGAACTTTCGACAAAATTCCGAACATACGAACAGTTTTTAAGTGTTCGAAATTGTTACATGAATTTCTAATGTTCGAACTCTTAAAAATATATATTTGAATGATCTAAATCCAAAATTGGAACATTTTTTATTTCAAAGAGAATTTTCCAAGAAAAAGTTCAAACGTGGAAAATTTTTGAATGCAAGAAATGACCTATGCAATCCACACCAACGGGAACATTCGACCCGTTTCTGGTGGTGGTGGCTTGAAATGCCATTGGTCTCATTATAAGAGTGCACAATTCAAATACAGAATTTAATGTACACAATACGTATTGTACAGAGGAGCACAATATTTTTTTCAATCCTTCCGTTCAGTATACCGGATAACTGTTACAGTATACTATACATCAATGATTTATTCTAATTGAATGAGAAATATCGTTTGAAATGTGTTTTGATTTTTGCTTTTTCATTGATTATATTGAAACCGTATTTCTTGACTTAAACCAAACGAAGAACTTCGAACAAACAAACAAGGATCTCACAACTTCTGAACTCAACTAAAACATACTGTGCTAGTGATTGTTCTATTGTAGGAGTATTCACGGTTATATTCGATATATAAATTATTTCTTTCAACTTATTTAGCCTATTCTACATACACAAATCCATTATTAACGGCTGGCTCCGTCGCAACCAATATGAGAAAACCCTACGATGACTTAGACTTAATCGTTGGTGGCCGATACGGACCGAGGCCAATGACGCCTACATCTCCAATAACAGCAGGAAATTGGGGTCTTGACAACTACAGTAATCTAGATGGAGTTAATCCAACGTTTATTCACGTTCAACAACCACATACACGTTTAGGCGCATTAGATTTAGAATGTAAGACACTGTTTATAATCCCCTTCCTCTATTTAGTTGCATGTGCATTGTGCAGTTTGAACTACGATATTCATACTAGATTTATATTTTATCATTCTTCCGTTATATTTGTTAAATGAACCTCTGGGTTTCTAGGTATTATTTATGTAATAGAATGGGTTTAACGTACATAAGCGAACACAATTCTATGCGTGGGATTGAGAGTAGTGTATGTTTCATTGACTTTGTTACGAAAGAGAAGAGTAAGTTTCTTTCGGCTTAAAAATAGTCAAACAAGAGTATGTATTTTGTTAGTTTGGAATACCAATAAACAGGAGTATGTTTTTCTGACTTTGGTTGTTGGAAATTTAATGTAAATTCAATGAATTTAAGTATTAGGCAAACATAATCAATAGAACTAATCATTTGTACATCTGGCGGCTCCCAAAACTTCAATTTAACACATTGGGTTTCGAAAAAGTAGAGTATGTTTGCATAAATGGTTAAAAATATTAAGTTCTTTCGACGAAGAGTATCAGGAGTTCATAATTGTTAGCATTAAAGAGAGAACGTAATCGAGCTCTGCTTATTACTGACAACTCTTACAACCCAAAATAAGCATATTCTGAGCACTTTGTGACCCGGAATTTCACTTTTAAAAATCTTAACTCAAAACACATTGGGTGTGATTTTTTTAGGTTAAGTGTTCAAAAGAGTTGTTTGTTTTCACACCGGCTACAATTTTGCCAAAGACCGTGTCCAAAAAAATGAATAACCTGCAAATAATGGTTGAAAAAGGGCAAAAATCGATCATTTTTACAATATTTTGTACTGGAGCAAACACCAGATGGCATTTTTTGGGTAAACGGATAGTGCCAATTGATAGATCTCGTCAAAGTAGTCCAACAAACACCCCCCATTTGGGGGTAAAACCCAACTCCAAGGTGGAAAATCGGGTTTTAATGATTCAATGGTTCACGGTATATTTTAAAAACGCGATTTCTGGGCTTGGAAGTGGGTTTAACACCCCAAATGGGGGATATTTGTCGTACTGCGATAAAAGCCTATATAAAGAATGTTATTATATTTGACAATATTTGACTCGATGTCAATGACGATGTGGCAGCGCCACCTATAGAGATTCCTTATTAAAATAAGTGGAACTATTGAGCGCGTGCACCATATCGCACGTAAATTTTCAATATGGCAGCGCCCATAGAATTGAAAAGTTAACCAATTTCGTAGTCACAAATTATCGCTGTACGATATTTGTAGACTACTTTGATGAGATCTATCGATTGGAGTCACTCTTGATGCCGTTAGACCCTCCACTGACCGTCTTTTAAGGACCTGCAAATGCAAAAAAAATTATCCTCCCAGGAAATCGGTCAGTGGAAGGTTGGAAGGAACTGTGAGTGGGTCCAATCGGTAGATCTTGCAAAAGTACTCTGACAAATACCCCC